CTTTTCTAACCCGTCCTTCCTCGGTGGAACGCAGTGTCGTTGCCTATATAAAGATGGACATACTAGTCACCCGAAGGAAAAACCTTCATGCCTTCACAATCCTGTCTAAGAGGATAGTACGAATTAACATTCAGACTGCCTCATAATAGGATTTCTCGTAGTACGGGGACTAGCCGTTCTTCGTCTGGCTGTACACCGTTGACCTTTCTCACCTTAGGGACATGAATTTCAGCCATGTAGCCCACAGGGTTATTGCATTACTGAAGCGCGACCACTCCAACAAGTTAAGAGCTTCAGGTCAGGTTGCAAGAAATCCAAGAGGGAAAGACCAGTTCGCATATCCGCGTTTGTCTCGTCATTGCTGGAGCGGCTTGATGCGACAGATCACAAAAGACACTCAGAAGTCCTTTAACTTGTCCTACCTGCATCCACCTATGGGTTCCTCAGGATTCTAACCGATTCTGTAACTGAATGAGGCAATATTGGTCCCAAAAAATCACGGGCCGTTGGCACCATAAACCTACACTTGTATAGATCCTCTGACGGCGGAGAGTACGAAAGAAACGCCTGACGAACGATCTTAGTGGGCCTGGCAACTGTGTTGCCAGCCATTAGAATAATTAGGAAACCCGTTACGTAAACTTCAATCACTGTATCTAATATAAATATGCCATGCTGATGTTTAAACAACCGCATAACGACGAGCCTTAAAGATGAGACGCAGTGATCGTCACCTGGCAATAGAGTAAGGAACTACATGGATTTTCGAATGCGTAATCATTTTGGCCTGCAACAGCGTGGGTAAGTTGAAATAGCTAAAGAGGCTTCTTTACAGCAGAGCATCCGGCCTCAAAAAAACCATTTCGCAAGCCGCCTACCACAGGCGTGCAGTTGTGGGATTTTAAAGAAACTTCAACGAGATACAGCGTAACACCAATAAATTAAAAGAAAATTCACCGACCGGAACCGATGAAAATATACTCACGGAGATGCACCAGGCGATCCCAACGGAGCATACGCTGTAACAGTCAAACCAAGAGCCTGTGCATACTCAACCAATTTCGTGTTTGTGAAGTTGCAATGAATTTCGACTTGAAGATTCACCGGCTTTATTCGTGCTCCTTTCATGATCACATCAATCTGACGGCGGTTGAAGTTCGACAAACCGATCGATTTCACCAATCCCTCGTCTACCAGTTGCTCCATGGACTTCCAAAGGGAATTAGGAATCATGTAATGTACAAATTAAAAATTAGACACGACCGACCTATGACGGTAGTGCAAAGAGATATAAAAACTTCAGAGACTGAAATATTTAACGATACAGCCGTGTTCCGGATGAACTGTTTTAAGAATAACGTCTGAGGCGGTGAGGGACCAAATGTACTCCAACAAATGACAAACTGAATTCAAAGTTGTCTTCCGGCATAAGGAGCCTTGGGTAATAAAAGAAACTTTTCACTCATTGTTGCACCACGGTGCCTTTATCAATTTATCCGTCACGGAGACAGGGACTTACCATGGTGCGACGGTTTGTGTGCCTCTGGGACACATTGAGCTATAACGATGTCCAACTGACACCGTCCCTCATGCCAGGTTCATGAGTGGTCGGAGGTCTGACCAACAGCCTCCTGTCCATCTAGATTGTGGGTTAGAACATTCATGGTGAATTGCTTTTATAAAAATGGTAATGCATTTGAATTTCCCCCAAGCTCTACTGCCTTGTGCTCAGGCTTTTGTTGAGAACCCTAATCGTCTTCCTGTCTA